TTGAGGTTTGTGGTTTCTCCTTTAGGGTGTGGGGGAAGCACGAAGACAGATACCGTGTCGATAGCACGTGTCGTCTCCGGTCCAGGCAGTTATGCACCGTTGCTTGGTTCTTTGGAGTTGTGTTAACTCTCAGTCAAATCTGCGCAGTGGAGTAATGCTGTCTTGGAATTGTGGGAATTGTTGATGCTTTGGTTGGGAATATGAATTCTCATACTTTTCAAGGCTGAGGATTTGTGTACGTGGTCATGACATACACAGCGTATTATTTGTCCCTTCAAGAGTAGTCTTAAGAATCGAGCAGGGAAAAAACCCTGGAAAATAATGTATTAATCATAGAGTGAAGAGACCTTGTACAAACAAATATCAAAAGGTCTTATAAATCAATAAGAAACAAACAAATATCAAAAGGTCTTATAAATCAATAAGAAAAATTGAGAAGTTGTAGAAATATGACCAGAGGACATCAACATCATTCACACAAAAAGGAAAGAAGAAACCTTGCTCACAATGAGAGAAATGTAAGTGAAAACTTACATTTTGGTCCACAATAGGCAGAAATCCAAAAATTAACAGTCGTCCTGCCTTGGCAGAATGTGCTCTCATTCATACTTTCGCGTTGGGAACGTGAATTGCCAGGCGCGCGCGCACACGCGCATGTGTGTGTGTGTGTTTTGACTGGTATCAACTGATTACACAGATTGATTACACACACACACAGACTGATTGAGGTGCCCTGGGGTGCTGGGACACCTGTGTAGCCAACACCATTCATCCCAGGAGGCCAGAGCCGAGCCTGCTTTTACCTGTGTGGTGAAGTGAAAGCTGCCTTGGAACCCGGAGGAGGAAGGTGAGGATGGGTGCGGGTGTTTTGCGTAGGGGTGCAGGCCAGCCTCTGTGGGTTTACAAACCCACGATCAGGTCTAAGAATAATTGGATTTCTGTGTTGTGTAGGAATGTGGAAATTTGGGTGTTTGTTTATAAAACCTTCCATTTTTCTTTTCTTTTTATTAAATACTTTTATTGGGAGCTCATACCGCTCTTATCAATCCATACATTCATCCAATGTGTCAAGCACATTTGTATGTTGCCATCATCATTTTCAAAGCATTTTCTTTCTACTTGAGCCCTTGATATCAGCTCCTCATTTTTCCCTCCCTCTTCCACCCTTCCTCCCTAATGAACCCTCAATAAATTATAGATTATTTTCATATTTTACCCCATTCTGTCTCCCTTCACCCACTTTTCTGTTGTCCATTTTCCTTTCTAACTTGTGAATTGGGTGACTATATATAGAGCAGGTTGTCGGCTTTCCACTCAAGGATGCCTACACATTGTTCAGGTTGCAGTCCCCAGTTGCCTCGAGTACCGCCCCTCTGTCCCACCCAGAAGCGTTTCTTGCCAGGCTCACACTTGCAGGTGAGAGCACTAGGTGATGGCTGCTGTAGAGGTCCTGGTCCAGTGCCATGGGCCCCACATTGTGAGCTGGCAGCCACCATTTAGCTATTCCCTAAAGCTGTTGGTCACTCCCCAAATACACTCAGGTATAAAAGATTTTTTCTTAACATTGACGCAAGAGAGGAAAGGAATCCGCTTTTAAAGTGTCACCGTCTGAGTCTCTCTTCCTCAGGGAGAGGTTTTCTGTTTAGCTAGTTCTTCAGAAAGGAAGGCCAGCAGCTGCTTTAGCGGTTCAAGGTTCACGTGAGTTTGGTGGGTTTATACTAGAGCTCAGGAGCTCTTGACTGCTACATGCTGGTAAAGAGCTTGGCTAACTGAAAGGTTGGAGGTTGGAGGCCACCCAGAGGTGCCTTGGGAGAACGAACTGGTGATCTACTGCAAAACCAGTCCTTAAAACCCCTACAGAGCTCACTTCTGCCTGACACAGGGCAGAGCCACTCCTCAGCACTTGTTTTCTCTTGTAGACCTTGCCTCAGACCCTGTCACTGGCCAGGTTCTCTCGAGGTCGCAACTCGCCCGCAGTCTTGGGGTGAACTCCAGCATTCTGTCGCTCTCGTTGGCGGCTAGCTGGTGGTGTTGGTCTGCTACTCAGGAGGATCCTGGGCACACCAGATTCAGTCTGTGGGGTTCTCTTTGGCTCATGTTCGAAGTTAACCTTTTTCTGGATTTTGTGCTGAAAACCCGTTTGGCCTCCTACCAACATGCAGGCATCCACTGCAGGGCCAGTGGTGGGGGCTGTAATGGAGAGGCTGACTGGTGGAGAATCAAACTGACCCCACCTGAGCCACTGCTATCACTCAGGTTGCTGACCCACTTGATGGTAGCTGTGCTGAGGGCACGGGGACTGGGCTGCGCGGCACCCAAGCACTTGGAAAATGTAAGACCCGTGTTTCTGCTGCCTGCTCAGTTTTGCCTGTTGGCTTGCTGCCTTTTTCAGGGAGACCAACTGGGCCTTGGAGGACTGAGGTCCAGCTAGAGGGCCCGGGGCCACGGGCAGCGGCAGCCACATGGGTGGTGGCAGGGCGGACGTTCAGCACTCAGGCTGCAGAGGAGAAGAAGGAGGAGCCACTGCACTCAATCATCAGCAACACCGAGACTGTGCAGGGTAACTAACCACTTGCACACAGCCCAGCCCAGGGGGCTCATGGGGGGTGGGGAATGGGTCCTCCCAGCTGTTTTTTTTTTTTTTTTAAACATTTTATTAGGGGCTCATACAACTGTTATCCCAGTCCATACACACATCAATTGTGTAAAGCGTATTTGTACATCATTTCTCAAAACATTTTCTCTCCATTTAAACCCCCGACATTAGGTCCTCATCCCAGCTGGTTTTGACCCGCTGCTTCCCCTCACCCCAGGCAGCTTCCATCCCCATGCATCTCACACCCCCTGGTGGTTGCCGGAGAGACTACAGTGCGATTGGGAACACATCTGCTAGCCATCCGGCGAGGGCACAGGAGGGCCCTGGGCCCATCCCTAGGCGGCCACAGCAGAACCTTTGACTTCTGGCTTAAGAACAAAAGCCAGCGTGGCTTTTGGTTTTCCTTTTTGAATTCACATTTGGGGAGCTCTTTTGGAAGAATATAATCCTGGTTTGATGGTTAGAGCTGGCCAGGTTAGGTCATCAGTCTCCTCATGTTGGGGAGGCTGGTGGAGGCAGGTTCCGGCCTCCATCTTCCATCTTAGTGGTCCCCCTCACCCCTTTTCTACTGGTGATGTGTGTGTGCCCCCAGTGGCCCTCAGGGACTCTGGCGATCTCGCTTATGCGCACATCCTACTTTTTACTCCTTAGTAGGGTGTAAAGCCCATATAGCCTTGACGGTGCTTTCCGGTGTTGTGTGGCATAGCCCCTCACACAACTGGAAATAAGAAATGGCCTCAGTGTCTGTGACTCACCTCCAGGTTCCACTTGCAAGCACGAGTTCCAGGCGGAAACCAAGAAGCTGCTGGACATCGTGGCACGCTCCTTGTACTCGGAAAAAGAGGTATGGCGCCTGCCAAGCCCTCCAGTGCCAGCAGGGATTCTGGACGAAGCTGTGCTTGTGGTTTTCTGAGGAAATGCCAGATGGTGCATTAGCTGAGAATGTACTCACCATTGGACAGGTCTCAATCTCAGACACCAGCAAGGGATCTTTAACCAAACATGTTTCTGATTTTATGGCTAAATCTATGCAGAGGAAATCTTGGGACCAGATTGCCTCTGGGTGTCCCCGTATCCACATGGGGCTCTCCTGAGCTCTGTTTCTTTGGAGTGGGAAAGCCCCATTGCAGGCATGTTCTGAGGCCCGTGTTCACGCCCCAGAACTTTGCAGGACTTTGGGGGGCTGCAGGAAGAAGCCCCATCCTGTGTGTGCACAAAGGAAGGAAGGTGCTGAGGAGATTCACAATCAGGCCACGTCACAGAACATGCCGAGAGCAGAGAACAGGCCAGCCAGCGTTGCCTCAGGCCAATCACTGCAGGGCAGCAGGGACCGAGCTCAGGGGGCTGGCCAGGCCTGGGACTGCTCATGCTGTGTGCCAGTGTCTTCTGTTATCTTTTGGTTCCATTTTTCAAAGCCCTCTCAGACTGGAGCTGACTCAGAGGCAGATGCCCTGCTAAGCTTTGATGAGATAGCTGACCTTCTGGCCTTTTCTCCTGAGCGTGAGGCTGGTGCTGGAGGTGCCCATGAGGTTGGATGTGACAAGTGGGTATTTTTGGTGGCACAGGAGAAGCAGGCATGTTGTTTCTGGGCCAGAGACAGGTCAGCGGAAGCTGCCAGCACATCCACATTGTTTCCTCCTCAGGTGGTGGCAAAGCCCCACCCAGAAGTCAGGATGGAGAAGAGCAAATTCATTTACAGACGCGAGAGACCAGGCAGAGGCACAGATGCCCCGAGGAACAAACCCCACTCAAACCCAGTGCTGTAGATTGTAATTCATAGCAATGCTCTAGGACAGAGTAGCCCTGCTCCATAGGATTTCCAAGGCTGTACATCTTTTTTTCTAGCTGTACATCTTTATAGGAGGAGACAGCCTCCTCTTTCTCCCATGGTGGGCTCAAACCACTGACCTTGAGGTTAGTTGACACTTAACCCACTGAGCCACCAGGGCTCCTCACAGCAGATCCTGAAGAAGCCAGGCCTGGCAGAGACTCACTTTGGGTAGGCAGCACCCACTCCAGTTAGCCCTGTCTGTGTTTCCACCCGGGCTTTTTCCTTACAAATGGCTGGACCTGCCTTCGTTTTCAGATTTACTGCCAAACTCAAGAAAAGCTTGAGAGTCTAGAAAACTCTGGAATCGCTGATAAAGCACAAGCAAATTCCATCCGCACACATTACATTTAATGGCAATGCTAACTAGACAAAAGGGCCCTGGTGACACAGTGGCTAAAGCACCCAGCTGCTAATGCAGAAAAAATACCACCGTCTGTTCCCATCAAGGTGCCAGGCTTGGGGACCCTCTGAGGCCGCCGCACTGTCACGGTGAGTCACAGTCGACTCAGCAACTAGAGTGTGGTTTGAGGGGCCCTGGTGGTGCACTGGTCAACTGCCTGACTACTAAGCAAAGGGGTGGCCATGAAGATGACCCACCTCAGAAACTCCATAGGGCAGCTCTGCTCTCTTCCAGGGGTTCGCTGTGAGTGGGGTGGTTTCCCACAAAGTTCCTTTTAAGGTTTGGGTTCAGTTAGCAGATTAAAACTTGCACTGTAAGACTTGATTTTTTTTGTTTTTCTGGAAAGATCAGGAATCAGATGACTCTAGAAAGGAGTCTGTACCAGGTGAATCTGGCCGCTTTAGTGAGTTTACAGTCAGGAATTCTGCCACACTTTCCTCACACCTCCTTTCCTGCAGGTGTTTATCCGAGAACTGATCTCTAACAGTAGCGATGCTCTGGAGAAGCTGCGGCACAAGCTGGTCTGTGAGGGCCAGGCACTGCCTGAGATGGAGATCCACCTGCAGACCGACACTGAGAAGGGCACCATCACCATCCAGGTAGCTCATCTTGCCTGAATGCCTGTCTGCTTGCCTGCCTCCCTCCCTCCTTAATGGTGCGAGCACAGCTCGGGCCATCGACCCAGCTCCCTGCACAAGCACAGTCCCCACATAACATGGCCACCGTCGTTGTTTTTATAATGACTTTCATCTTCCCCCCAAAATGAAGCTCATTCATTGTAGATGATTTGGGAATCACAGGTAAGCACAAAAGGAAGAAATCAAACATAACTGCTGCTTCTGAAAATGATTTTCTGTGTGTGTGTTTTATTAAATATGCAAAGTGACTCAAATGTGTAACTCATTACAAATTAGAGGTAATTGGAAGTTCCAGAACACTTCATTATGCTTATGTAAACCAAGACTCAGTCATTCAACAGAATGAGAGGATGCTGCATTGTTTAAAATCAGGAAAGGTGTGGCAGGATCATACCCTTGAAGATCAAAAACTTCAGTATGGAGTTCAGCTCAGCATTAAAAAACACCACCACCCATTGCCATTGACTTGATTCAGACTCATAGCAGGAGTCGGGAATGTCTGGGCCCTAAGACCATCTACAGCTAACATCAATAACCATGCACGACTCTTTAAAATAAAACCATTGAATTGTATACTATGAATTATATGCCAATAAAACTTAAAAATATAAAAAATAAATATTTTTAAAAATCATCACTTCAGAGGATTAACCACTTGACATTCTAGGCTATGTCCTTTAAGGATGGAGTTGTTGCTGTTAACTCTTTTGTCGTGAAATGGGTGGAGGTGTTCAGAGCAGATAGATCGTGTACCTTTTAACCCAAGGTGACATCACTTTTCTGACCTCCTCCCTGTGTTTCCTTTTTCATCCCTCCTTTCCTAACCCTTCCGAACTTTGGACTCCAGGCTTGATGATTCTATGGTGTGGGCCCCTCACAGACCTGGCTGTTTGGCCAACCTGTTTAGGTTCTGCCTGTAGCGTGTTTCTGTGTCACTGTGGGGTTCCAGCCCAGATTGCCCTCTTCCACACCCGGCTGTGTCATGAGAAGTAGGTGTCACACTGCTTGGTGGGGGGGGGGGGTTTACAGTCCCCCACCCCCAGCAGTGTGTGAGGCCCCTCGGTTTTGTCTGTCTGGTTGAACCGTCTGTTCCCGTCCCCTGTCCTTTTCTCGGGTTCTCCTCCTCCTCTTGGTGATGGTATGGCTTTCTGTAGATTGCGAGATGAGTCGACTACGTTTTCCTCTCAGGATGGTTCTCAGTGAAGAAAGCTGCTTTGTTGCCCTCTGACTTTGCTGGCACAACTAGGCCACTGACTGGAGACCCACTGGGCCCTGGTCCTGCCACTTAGAGTCTCTCTCTTTTCAGGACACGGGCATCGGGATGACACAAGAGGAGCTAGTGTCCAACCTGGGAACAATTGCCAGATCGGGGTCAAAGGTGAGCACCTACCACCCCCGCTTCCTATAGCATGCTATGGGTCTGCTCCCCTTGTGGGGCCAGGCCAGCTCTCGGTGCAGAAGCAAGGTACGTGCTACTTGTCAGGTGTCATGAGAATGTCTCACGGGGCTGTTTTGTTTGATCCTCCCTCCCAGCGTGTGACCTTGAAGCCGTGGCGGGGACTTGTGGTAGCCGAAGTGTCCTCACCACGCTGACTCTGGGAGCCCAGGACGGGTCAGTGGCCCCTGGCCCCTGCATTGGTTGCCCACATGCTTTCCTGTGGGCTGGAGTGGTACCTAACATGGCACTTGATGCCAGCTGGTTTGGACTCGCTTTTATTTTTTCTCATTAGATTATGTTGCATTCCCAGTGAGGATAGCCACTAGCACCCACACGAAGCTGTTTAAATGTGAATTCATGAAAATGAACTGACATTTAAAAGGTAGCTCCTAGGTTGTGCCTGCCTGATGACCCCACATAGTTGGCAGTGCCGGGTGCATTAGGCAGCAGAACACGTTTGTCGGCGCAGAGCACCCCTAGGGCGGTGCCAGCCTCTGAGTGGAGGGTGGTGCTTGATTTCATCTGTCAGCACAGGGGCATTGGTGACATGGTATAGAATGCCTGGGGGCCGTGATCTTCGGTAGCAGAGCACTAGCTGTCTCCCCACCAAGCTTAGTGTCTCCTCTCTTGTCCTGCTGAGGAGGGAACAAGGGACAGGCACTGGGACTGGGAGCTGGCCTCAAGGCACATTACAGTTGTCTGGGGGGCCCTCAAGGAGCCCTGGTAGTTGAGTGAGTTATATGTTTGCTTGCTAACTGCAAGGTGAGCAGTTTAAAACCACCAGCTGCTCCTCAGAAGAGAGGTGAAGCTTTCTTCTCCCATAAAGGTCTTTAGTTCTGCTCTACCGTATTAGAGTCACTGTGAGTCAGAACTGACTTGATGGCCGTGAGTTTGGTGATTTGGGGGCCCCTGGCTGCTGTGTAAAGACAGTGAGAAACCAACACTTGTATAACCAATCTTTTTTTTTAATTCTACAACAAACTGTATTAGTGACTCTCTTTGCCAGGAAGTCCCGCTCCTGTCCTCCAGAGGTGTTGTCATTTCACATTCTGCCTTTAAGTCCCTGGTCTATTGTGAGTTTGTTCTCCCTTGAGAAGTGAGACAAGTGTGGCTGAGCTTCCCGCTCTGCCTCTGGTGCCCCGTCTGATTCTGTTCAGTTGCTGGCACCTTGGTCTGAAACCGGATGGGCCGGTGTGTGTGGCCTGTTCTGGGGTTTCTCTCCCACTGGTAGATCCACCCCCCCCTCTGCCACCACCACACAACCCTCCTTCCTGTCTGTGTAGGGCGTCTTCAGCTAGTCGCAGGGACCGTCTGCATTTCCTCCTTTATTCCACAGTTGCTCTGGCTGCTCTAGTTCTTTGCCTTTCCTTGTGAACGGTGGAATAATTGTGCTGGTAGCTACATTTTTTTAAAACCTTGCTGGCATTGCATTCACTATGTACATGGTTTGGGGCACATTGCTGTGTGTACTGTCTTCCAGTCCGTGAACGTGGGGGGACTCTAAGAACTGCGTCCTCACACTTCTGTGCTTGCCCTCTGTTTATCCGGGTGCGTGTGTAGTCCATGCTGCAGAGGGAGAAGCACCTGGTTGTGGAGAAGGCCTGGTGCACTCACCAATTGTTTGGGAACTAGATGGAGAGAGGATTAGAGCACTCTCAACAACAACTGCCCCTAGAGGGGCACTTTAAAGCACAGTTTGGAGTGAGGCGGCCACATCAGGAGGGACACATTGGTCCTCAGGGAGGGGCTTTCCTTGTCTTCTGCTTACAGACAGGTCCCTGCATGGCATCTGTCTGCCCCAGGCATGTCCTTAGATGAGGTTCAGGGACCAACTACCCTGGCATGACCCCATTGCGGCAGTGTTATGCCGGCAGCACAGAACTCAAACCCCATGCTGCCGAGCGGATTCTGACTCAGAATGGCTTACAGGACAGAGGACTGCCCCGCCCTGTAGTGTTTCCCAGACTCCCACATCCTGACCCACTGACCTTGGAGTTCACAGCCGGGCACTGAACCGGTGTGCCACCAGGGCCCTTACTGACAGACAGGCTGACACCTGACTGCTGCCACTCAGCAGGTGCCCCAGGGCGGAAGCTGTCACTGCCTCTGTGTGTAACTAACAGTGCTTCACTGCTGGGCGGGGCCATCGTGGTGACTGAGGCCTTGACTCTCCTGCACTCTTTTCTCCGACTCTCCCCGAGAGGCCTGGACGGGAGCCCGGGGGCTTTTCATGGGAGGGAGGACAGCCACTCCTCAGGACTCTCCCGCCCAAGCGCCTCTCTGGTTCCTTTTCTTGGCTGCTCCTCACTCTGGGGTGGCCAGGTGTGCTCCCAGCAGGCCTGGACTCCAGGCTGAGTGGGACCGAGCAGCCCCTCAATTCTGCATAGTTTGCCATTCAGAGTCAATCCTGGCCCATTTTTACCCTTCTTTCTTGCTCAGTGGGGTGATTTTGTGGGGCAGTACCCTGGGTGGGTAGCTGTGTGAGCTGCAAGGCAGGTCTGCCCTCATCTCCTGGGGTCCTCTTCTGCTGGTTGGGGTTGTGAGCACAGCCCTCTCTCCCCAGGGGCTGTTCTAGAACTCGCCTGAGTCTGCCAGAATTTCATGATGGGCCTGGAGGGGCAGGGGTGTGAAGGGGGCGTATGAGGCTCTGCAAGGCCCCACCTCAGTTCTGCTCTGTTGCATCCTTGAGTGCCTCGTGCCAGCCCCAGAACCTGTGACCCCGCTGTGAGAGCTCCTTACGGTGGGGCCATGAGGGCAGGCTGCAGGCACCTTGACCAGCCTGTGGTGTCCACTTCAGGCCTTCCTGGATGCGCTGCAGAGCCAGGCTGAGGCCAGCAGCAAGATCATCGGCCAGTTTGGCGTGGGCTTCTACTCTGCCTTCATGGTGGCCGACAGGGTCGAGGTTTTCACACAGGCAGCAGCGCCAGGCAGCCCCGGCTACCAGTGGCTTTCAGATGGGTGAGTGCATGGACACGCTGTCCCTCACCTTGTCCCTGGGGCTGAGTCCTCCCCCAGCCTCTGTCCTTTGTGGGTGTGCTCGTTCCTCTCGAACCCCTGTACTCCCTGCTCTCATAGAGGGTGGGCCAGACAGTGCCTGGGCCAGCTTGATTATCCAAAACTCTCTTGTTCACATTTAAGGAGAATGATGCCTTAGCCAAATTCAAGTGTTTTTATTTCCTTAGGCCCCAAAAGTGCTTCTGAGTCACACCTTCCCTGATGTGGCTGGCCCCCCCTCAGTCCCACAGGGTGGCCCAGAGCACTTCCCACCACCCAACATACCTTCACCCACAGTGTGCTGGTGTTCCCTGGGCCAGGGCGCTGTCAGCTGTCTCAGGGACTTGGGCTCGACCTCCAGAGAGGCCTGTGTATGGCAGCCAGCCTTCCCCCTCTCCTGCTTCAGCTCGGGAGTGTTTGAAGTCGCCGAGGCCTCCGGAGTCAGGCCCGGGACCAAGATCATCATCCATCTCAAGGCAGACTGCAGGGAGTTCGCCAGCGAGTCCCGGGTGCGAGGTGAGGGGCCCTGTGGGTTGGCTCTGGGTGGGTGAGTGGGTCTTTTATTGGGTTCTGGCTTTAAACAGCATACAGGGCCCACGGGCCTGGGCTCTGTGTGTCAGGCTAGGGAAGGGACCTGCAGAGGTCCCTGTGGGCAGACACAAGGGTGGTGGTCTTCTCGGTGTAACTGCATCATTTATAAATTCCTGTGTTCCTAACTTCTTGTGTTGTTAAAACCTCAGCCTGCCCTTCCCATGCATCCCCACCCCACCCCCATGGGGTGTAGACAGACTTGCCTGTTTTGGGGTCCCCTTCTTGATTCCTTCCCCCAGAGCTGACCTCAGAGACCTCCACAGCCTCATTCATTGTGCTATCTCTTCCAGATGTGATAACAAAGTACAGTAACTTCGTCAGCTTCCCCCTGTTCCTCAACGGCAGGCGCATGAACACTCTGCAGGTGAGCCTTGGCCAGGTGGCAGGAAAGGAGCTTCCTCCAGGACTCTCAGGGCCAGGGGCTCCTTGTGGAGGGACGAGAGCCAAGGGTCCAGGCAGCAGCCTAGCCAGGTGCTCAGCAGGCGCCATGTCAGGACACTTTCCCCTCCTTCCGGGAGCCCCACCAGAGGGTGGCTTCCTGGGGGCCGGCTTGGTGGCTACAGGGGCTGAAGGGGCTTGGCTTGCATGGGCCCCAGGGTCATGCTGTCCACACCCAATGCCTATGGGAGGAAGTGCTTGAGTGCGTGTCCCCCTCGGGTATTCATGGCAGGCCATCTGGACGATGGAGGCCAAGGATGTGGACGAATCACAGCATGAGGAGTTCTACCGCTACGTGGCCCAGGCCCACGACAGACCCCGCTACACACTGCACTACCGGACTGACGCACCCCTCAATATCCGCAGCATCTTTTATGTGCCAGAGATGGTGAGGACCCCTTCTTTTCCCTCTCCCTCCCATACAGGCACACTCACACAGCATCTTATATGTACTCAAGATGATGAGGACCCCTCATGTCCACCCACCCACCCCACATCTTCTACATGCATACACCTCATGTTCTCTTTATAACCTCCCTACACACACACACAATCTTCCTTTGTCACCAAGCACTTGTCCCAGGTGGGCCCACACTCTGTCATCATACGTAGTTTCCAGCCATAAGCGGTGCCTGGGCACTGGGGCCTCCGTGGGTGGTTCACTGGCTCAGCAGAAGCCGAGGGCTATTGCACACACTGGGATCCTGTGACATGAGGTGGTCAGAACCCTCTAACATCTCACTTTAGGGCACCCACTGCTCAGGCAACTAGCTTCTCTGTGGTAGAAACAAAGGGTCTCAGATCTCACCAGCCCTCCTGAGCCGGAGTCTAAATCCTGACCCGGCCCTAGGTCACAGTGTAGATGCCGGTCGCCATGCTACCCTCGGGTTTCCATTTTGCCACACGATCTCTGCCGATGTCTCTGGAGCAGGTTCAGAGGACATGCCAATATCCCACTGGTTCGGGAGCCCATGGGTTCCTGCTGCCGACCTTGTAATGGGGGCAGCCCAATGCGTGAACCCACTGTGCTCCTTCTCTCACTGCCATCCAGTCAGTGCTGTGGGCTGCCAAGACGAGCTGTTCATGGGAGTAAAAAGCCCCGTGTTAAAAATGAGTGAATGAGTAAAAAGCCCAGTCTTTCTCCTGAGGAGCTGCTGGTAGTTTCAAACTGCTGACCATGCACATTGCAGCCCAATGCATAACCACTACACCATGTTTCTTCTAGGCACTGTTTTCTCATGTGCATTGTTGGTCTTTGGATAATTTTTTCCCCCTTGTCTCTTTTAAAACTGTAAACATCATTCTTAGCTCAGGTGGAGTTGGCCTGTGGGAGTGGTCTGCTGACATCTAACCCACAGTGAACTTGGGCCTTGGGTCAGGAGGGCTGCTGCTGCCAGAGAAGCAACCTGGACCCTGCGAGGTGTCCTACTGGGTGTGGTGGCTGGCCAGCGTCACCGCCTTCCTCGCCCAGGGCTGAACGACCTGTGTCTACAGAAACCATCCATGTTTGACGTGAGTCGGGAGCTGGGTGCCAGTGTCGCCCTCTACAGCCGCAAAGTCCTCATCCAGACCAAGGCTGCTGACATCCTGCCCAAGTGGCTGCGCTTCGTCCGTGGTATGTGCTGGGGCCAGCCTGGGCCTGCTGGTTGTAGTTGAACGGCATCCTGCTGGCCTTGGACTCAGAGGTCAGCTGAGGTCAGGATGGGTAGCCTCTAGAGCAGGGGTCCTCAAACTACAGTCCGCGGGCCACATGTGGCCTGCCAAGGACATTTATCCAGCCCGACGGGTGTTTAAACTATAGTCCAGCCCTCCAACGGGTCTGAGAGACAATGAACTGGCCCCCTGTTTAAAAAGCTTGAGGGACCCCTGCTCTAGAGTAGCGGGTCTTAAACTGTGGGTTGCGACCCCTTTGGGGGTCGAACAACCCTTTAACGGGTTGCCCGATTCACAACAGTAGCAAAATGACAGTTAATGAAGTAGCAACGAAAATAATTTTATGGTTGGGGGGTCACTACAACATGAGGAACTGTATGAAAGGGCCGAGGCATGAGGAAGGTCGAGAATCACTGCTCTAGAGGCTGGTTCAGCGGGTCTCTGCCTAGACATTTCTACATAAACTGTCAAGAGTGAGACTGTCGTTTATATAGGGGCCACTGAGTGGTGGAAATGGTTAACGCTCAGCTACTAACCAAGTGTGGGGGTTCAAGTCCACTGGGATGTGCCTTGGAAAAGAAAGACCTGGTGATCTACCTCCAAAATATCAGCCACTGAAAGCCCAGTAATGCAGAATCTGACACATAGTCAGCATGGATGCAGAACTGATCTCGGCTCTATCCTGTATTAACAGCCCCACGTTTAAACCTTCCACTTGCTAACAGAAATGCAAGTCTCTGTGATACACCTGTGATTTTTATCATAAAATCCAGGATGTCACTTTGGATGTCCGGCTGATCATGAAGCCCAGCAGTTTCGCTTCAGGCGTGTTGGCCCAGGTGTCCTGGCCATCCATATGTACCCTGGAAGACAGTGTGTAGGCCCCTGCGTTCCTGCTTCCCTCGAGCCAAGGGGGAGGACCATAATTCGGAATGGAGCAGCTGGAGGGTGGTAGCAGGCTGGCCTGGGCTCCTGACAGCCTGTCTCACTAGGTGTGGTGGACAGCGAGGACGTCCCCCTGAACCTGAGCCGGGAGCTCCTTCAGCAGAGTGCTCTCATCAGGTATGCTGGGAACTGGAGAGGGGCCTGCCGGGACCCCAGGCACGTACGTCCCTGCGGTCAGAACAATCTGGGGCAGACCAGCCTTTTCTGTGAGCCTCTGCTCACCTGAGCCAGGCTGCAGATGGCCTGTGGTGGGATCTGCTGCCGCAGCGAGGGCTCACCAAATAGTAGTGGTTACACAGGTTGGCCAGTCAGCTCGCCTTTCCCCTGATCAATTGTAACTAAGTAAGAGACAAATCAGTGACCCCAACCCCATGCCTCCCACGGTTCCTTTAGGGTGTCAGCTTTCTGGGGCAGATTCTGAAGTGTGGGACGGACAGGTGTTTCTTACTAGTGTGTGAGCCTCTGGAAGCTCTCCAGAGACATGTCTTCCTTAGGTGACCCTGTTGGTATTTAGAATACAGCATCACAGCCACACGCATCACCATAGGACGACAAACTGACAGGCGGGCAGGTACCCACGCCCATCCAGTGCGTTCTCAGAGTAGCCTGTGGGACCGGGCAAACCCACCCCTTCCCGTTTCTGAAGCAGTAAATCTCCCCCTTCTTCCGTGGAGTGGCCGGTAGATTCAAACTGCAGATCTGACATGCACACCCCATGACGCCAGCGCTCTAACACATTAGTGGTGGGCACTTACTTTGCCTTTCATGTCTCTCAGCAGTGCTAAATGTACTACTCCCAGGCATCTTCTTCAGGTGATTGTCAACAGGACCACTGCTCGTTGCCTTTCAGGATGCTCATGGCTGATGAATAGAATCACAACTGATTTGGGGGTATTGCTCTGCTCCGTCACTTTACAGTCACTTCTCTCTAGGGACTTTCTTCTGAATAGCCCGGGATTTTCTATGTGCAGGATTGTGCCATCTGCAAAGAGATGCCTTTGCTTCTTCCTCCCTTAGTTGGATGCCGTGTTTCTGGCTGGAAGGTCCAGTCCAGCCCTGGAGCAGTCTCGTCCCCCATCTGGGGGAAGTGTTCAGGTTCTCTGCCCAGGCTCCTGTCAATGGTGGGGGCTCTCAAACACCCTACCCAGACTGAAGGCCTGACTTGCTTGCCACGGGGAATTGCAAAAGCAGTGCCCCTGACTAGATTATTAAGGAAATGCACTGTAGTGGAGCTTTTAAAAGTTACTTTGAGGGGAGAAAACTACCCATAATCCCACAGATAGACTGTGTGGTTTTCTGTTGTCCTCCAAGAAGGGAGCATGCATGTAGAGCCAGCAGCAGAAGCCCCTCTCCCACGGGCATGCCGCCGCCATCAAGCACAGGCAGGGCTGGTGCAGCAACACTGAAGCACGTTTTCCCCAGATCAGGACGGGCACTTTGTCTCACCAGGCCCACAGAACATGTGGGGTCGGGACCCTGCGGTTCCTTCTATCCCATTCTCTCCTGTGGAGGAGCCCGGGCTTCTCTGGCTGTGTCGTGGTTGGTGGCAAGAGCTGCTCCAAGAACCTTTGCAGACACTTGGTCACTGGTTATTTCTTGGCCATGACCTTCAGGAGCAGGTGTCGCTAGCATTCCTGGCTGTCTCCCACAGGCAGGGTGCAGAGGGGGTACAGTTGATGCTGCCGGCCCTTCCTACCTTGTGTTTGCCCAGGGTCCTTTTGATTTGACGGTCATTTTCAGTTTGGCAAGAGCAGCTTGCTTTCTCATGTGCCTGGTCACGGGTGAGGTAAAACTTGTCACCAACACTCATGCATGTTGATTTTGTAGGAAACTTCGGGATGTGCTGCAGCAGAGGCTGATAAAATTCTTCCTAGAGCAGAGTAAAAAGGACCCCGAGAAGTATGCCAAGTTTTTT